GCGGCTGCTTTTCTCTCGGGGGCTTGAGGGGTTTTTTTTAACATCCAGTTGATGCTGGGCCTGACAACTCACAGGGGCACGTCGGCCACATCGGTTCTGGGGGTGTCACGAGCGCTGTGACTAGTGGGTTGTGTGTGTGGTGTGCAGCCGGGGTAGCTGCTGCCCTACTGCCTCCATCATTAGCGCTCGGCGCCAGGCAGCCTGCTGCCCCCAGTTCAGTACAAAGTGACTGGGGGAGGTAGAGGTTTGGGTTTGCTTTACTCCAGATGCTGCTACTAAGCGTACGTTACACGAGGTCGGCGAAGGCCCCGCGGGCAGGGTAAGCTTGCCGCAGTGTGCGCCCCAACCCCCGGAGTTCTCATTGTTAGCAGCTCCTGCTCGGCCTTTGCGCTCGTACGGTAAATTAAAGGGCGCTGAATCCCCCGAGCACAGGTGGTGAAGAGTTTAGCAGCCTGCTTTCCCAGCCCCGAGGAGGAAGGCCGTCAGGTGGCTTGGTTTAGGGTAGTCGCGTTTGTCACTTTGCACGGGGGAATTCCATCGGTCACCGGCCACACGCACACCGGGACCTGGAGTCCTGCGGGACAGCGGCTGCGACGGAGAGCCCTGGCAGGCAGGGCCTGCTGGCAGCCCCCGAGTTGCTGCTGGGAACCTCGGCCTCTTCTGCTCGGGCTGTGGGTGCCGCCCTCCCACAGTGCTGTGACACACCAGCGGGAGCAGCACCCTGACTGCAGCCCGACATGCCGGGTCGGAGCCAGCTGGGAGCCATCAAGGTGTGCTTGCTTTGCCACAGGTGCAGTACTTCTTCAAGATCCTGGACAGCTAAGAGCCTCCAGCCCCCCCCCAGCATGAGACGGGCACACGGGACGGTGTGTTCATTCGTTTATTTGTCCAATGTTTCAACCTGACCGAAATACAAGATCAACAAGAGCACTGTACTCCTGGCTATTGTTACATGTTAGAACATAGAGTTTTGCACTTTAGACGACATTTAACACCATTCTATGGGGTACTGCATTGCTTTTATAAAGTTTAAAATAAAGATTTATTTTCAAACATGTGACTTTGGTTTATTTCATACATTACACTTTCTTGCAGAAAAAAAATAAAATTGTACAACTGCATAAATATAAAATTCTTCCACCATGAAAATGGTTAAAACATTCAATAAAGACATTTAGCACCACAGTGTGCGATGCCTCCAGCAGGAAAAAAAGAAAGGCAGGAAGAAAGAAAGAGAAAAGAAAATATACAAAGCGAAGAGTTACGCCTATCACCGAGGAGAGTGATAGTCTGACCCGGTCTCTCACGCAACACGCCGGAGGACGAGGGCAAAGGTGGAGAGGGAGAGACAGCATCCGCGGCGGAGCACGGTACACGCTCGCCTACGCTAACTTGGCTTGCCCCGCCACATCCAACGCCCTAACACCACGGAGGAGGCGGAAGCCGCATGGAGTGCCGTTACCTAGAGCCTCGCGGGCGGGCCTTCCTTTGAAAAGGAACGACATCAGGAGGAGAATCATGCCAGTTCTAGTCCCATGGAGTATTTACACCTCGGACAGCAAGAGTCTTGGCTCACAAGAAGTAGAAAACAGATACAATACATGGCTTGAAAAATGACCAGAGTGTGCACCTAGAGTACTGTACACTAAATAAAATACACAAGGCAGCAATACTTAGGGGCCAGAAACACTGCTTACTACGAGTCAGTCATGGAATCATAATTTACAGTAAAAACGGGCACGTCCCGAGGCTCAATCTCGTTTTCTTTTGTCATTTACAGTAGAATAAATATTTGTCGCTATTGCTACACTTTGTTTACATTCTAACCTAGTAAATGCGGAAAGCTAGTGTGAAGCATACAGAGTACGTGTGGGTCCCATACGTATGACGGTTTGTTCAAGACTAGTAGGTTTTCTTTTTGTTCTTTTTTTATGTTTTTTTTTCACCTCTTTAATGGCTAGGGGGAGGAGGGCGGGGCGGGAAGGGAGTTGTGCTTACAATCAGCTGCTTTTTATGTCGAATTTAATATCAAAGCGTCCCTGGAAGCGGTCTTTGTCGCTGTACTGGATGTTCTCCCCGTAGGCCCGGCACTCCACGCGCACCTCCACGTCGTAGGTCAGGTTGGTGAACTGCACGGCCACCAGCGGCTGCAGGTACCGGGGCTGCAGGAGCTTCCCGTAGTAGGGGTAGTACTGCAGGGCGAAGCCGGGGTAGCCGCCCATCCCGTAGTACTCCACCGCCCCGACTTTGTCTGCATCTTCCTCTCTCTAGGGAGGCAGGGAAAGGAAGAGGAGACTATGACCATCACCCAGGCGTGACCTTTGCCAGCCCTTTGCCCTGTTTCTCACCCAGCCCCTGGCCCCTCCCTGGTCATGGCCGATCCCAGTGCTGGGAAGGCCACTCCAGCGCGGCCCGACTGGCAGCCACGCCGTAAGCGCCGCCCAGCACCCCGCAGCCAGGAAAGGGGCTTCTCCATATTCAAACCTCGACCGCTGCTTCGCACACCGAGGTCACCCCGGCTTCCTGTCCCACCAACGCACCCTCTTCGGCTGACAACCAAAAAATCGGCCGTTTCCCAGCAAATACCATGCAAGACCCCTCTTCCCCGAGTACTTCGCACCCCAGGAGGGTCACCAAGCTGGGACAGAGGCTTCGCTGGTGCACCCTGCAACTCTGCCCCTGCGGTGTCCCCCCGCCACCGCGCCGGCACCTCAACTCACCTTCGCCATGCAGTGCACAGGGATGAGGTACGGGTTGTATTTTGCCATAACCTCGGGAGGGAGGCTCTCGTTCGCCGGGGCCTAGAAGAAACCCAAGACAAGGTGAGGGGGGGGTGTTACGCATCTCCTCTCGGCAGCAGCAAAGCCCCATGGTACCGAACACCTGCCGTGCCCTTAGCCGCGATCCCTGCCAGCTCAGTTCTCCAGAGGCAACAGCTCTCGGTGGGGGTTCTCGGGACAGGCAGCAGAACACAACCCAGCAGAGCTGTGTCTGTTCTTATGGCTGTACCGCCATGGATACCGAAGGGAGCGATACCGCCGCGGTGTCACTGGGAGAGCGTTTCACGGCAGAGTACTGGCCAGCGGGGCCCGCTGGTGCAAAGCCTGAGCAGAGGGTACTGCCAGAGGGTTTGCCAGCTGCCTGGCAGGTGGGCAGAGCTCGGAGTGGGAAGAGCCAGGAGCAGCAGGCACACCCTGAACCTCAACACCACCCACAGGGAAGGACAGGGGCTGTCAGGGAGAGGTGGGTGTGCCAGCTCCGAGGATGGTCTTTGGTCTCTTAACGAGCACAGAGGTTGGCTTCACACCCTCCCAGGTCTTGGATCTGCTTGACACACACCTCGCCCAACATGAGAGCCGAGGGGCCTCTGCAGAAGCGTGGAATGAGGGAAACAAACTGCCTGGGATACACACACCGTTCCCCAACGAAACGTGCGCAGTCAGCCCTTGACTGGGCGCTGCCGTCTAGTGCAGCCCGGAGCGCCTCAGTGCCCAGGGGCAAAGGAGAGGGGAACATGCCAAACCCTCCTCTTCCCCAGTCGGCAAATGCGCGTGTTGTGCGTCGGCCCACAGCCACCGCGTGCGAGCACAGGGAGCTCCCGCCACAAGGCACCCAG